AAGTTCACTGTTTTGGGGTTGCTTTGCTACTTTAGGCAATGGATGTCTTGACCGTGTGCATGGCATTATGAAATCTGAGGACTACTAAAGAATTCTGGGTGCAATGTAGAGCCCAGTTTCAGAAAGTGGTCATGAGTCTTTCAGCAGGACAATGACAAAAAGCACAAGTTATAAAGCACCCAGAAATGGTTTAATACAAAGTGCTGGAGAGTACTGAACTGGCCAGCAATGAGTCCAGATCTCAATCCCATAGAGCACCTGTGGAGAGATCTCAAAACAGCAGTTGGGAAAATTAACGCTTCCAATCTGAGAGACCTGGAGCAGTTGGAGAAAGAAGAGTGGTCCAAAATTCCAGTAGAGAGATGTAAGAAACTCATTGATGGTTGCAGGAAGCAAATGATTTCAGTTATTTTTTCCAAGGGATGTGTTCCCAAAAATTATATTGAGGGTGACAATAATTTTGTTCAGTCCATATGGGGTTTTGTGGAATGCGCCAGTTTGGCTTTTTGTTTCTCCACTTTGTGTTATACCAATACAAACAGAATGAATAAACATAAGAATGCTTAAACATTTGTGATTGCAACAATTTTTTAGGCGAAGTGGTGCATTATCTGATAGAAATACAGGGGTGCCAATTTTTTTGGCCTTGACTTTATATGCATCTATTTGTAAACAAGTTCATGTGCTGAGAGCGCACTCATTGTGCGCTTCCAGCACAGCAACTAATATGTACCGGAAAGCTCCTGGTGCGTAATTGCAATTGGAAACTTTCCAAACATGCGACTAGTGTGACAAGCCAAACACAGCAGTCACATGACTGGAATGCCAGTCTTCCGGAATTTAAATCCAGTTAAAGAGCCCAGAGACAGAAGCAGGAAGGGGTTAAAATAAATAGAATTATTCAATTTGTTTCCTGTTTACTTCTGTTTATTCTGAAGATGTGGAAACCGATCAAATCATTACAAACAATAAATCTGTAAAACTGTATAGTTGCAGGTCAGCATGTGAGGAAATGTCTAATCACTGCTAGCCCATCCTTGGGACCATTTGTGTAAAGAGAGCTGATGTTTATGCTTGCCAACATTGGCGACTAAAACTTCTTGAAATGATTTGTGTCTTGAAGATAAGAAGACAGTGCCATAGCCAGGGACTGTAAATGAAAATACAATGGCCAATGAGTGTGTAGCCCTTTTAGAGTCAGACACTTTGGAGTTGATTTATTAAAGGAAAATAGGCTGTTCACTTTGCAAGGAAATTTAATCCAGAGCTTAGTGAAGGTGGTGAAGATTCATTTTGCAAAGAATACCCAATCACATGTAGGGAAAAAAAAACATTTTGCTTGTATATGATGGAAAACAATAGAGTTGTTTCATCTCATTCACTAAGCTCTGGGCAAATTCCTTTGCAAAGTGCAACTTCCCTTGCAAATTCAACTGCCTGTTTGCCTTTTGTAAATCAATCCCTGTCAGTCTATATTTCAATGGACAGGGTCACTTATAGTATGTATCTGTTGTAATTTTCTTTATATACCTGATGTAGGATCCATTGAAACCTACTGGTAAGTCATGAAATGGACTGAGCATGCTTTGTAAATATTTAGCATATTTGAGAACGACTATAGTGCTCCCTTCATTGGTGAATTTCAAAATCATAAAAATCAAAAAATGTCTTATTTTCTTGAGGAGATATGATCACTGCCTCCTCTTCTATGCCAAGATTAGAAGAAGATTTTTTTATGGCAGGAAAACTGCAATGTGTCTCCCCCAATGGTCTTTATACATGTTTCAATAGGAGAGAAATATCTTGGAGCAGTTTCTAATCTGACATCCAACCAGACGTCTAACTACCAGACTTGACCACTGGATGCCTAACCTGGCTCTAGCCCAGCAATGGGCAAACTACAGTCCGGCGGACCTTTTAATCCGGCCCGCGGAAGTGATACATTGGCTGTCAGGATGTGTTTAGGCGGGGTAGCGTGATGAACGTGAGGGGAGCTAGGCTCCTCTTACAGTCCGCCCTGAAGACCGGAACGGCGCGGGAACACGGCGAGAGGAACGCGCGGAGCAAAGGTAAGTAAATTGACACAGGGGGGACTTACTATAGGGGGGATGAATTACTATATGGGGGATGAATTACTATGGGGGATGAATTACTATATGGGGGATGAATTACTATGGGGGATGAATTACTATGGGGGATGAATTACTATATGGGGGATGAATTACTATGGGGGATGAATTACTATGGGGGATGAATTACTATATGGGGGATGAATTACTATGGGGGATGAATTACTATATGGGGGATGAATTACTATGGGGGGTGAATTACTATATGGGGGATGAATTGCTATGGGGGATGAATTACTATATGGGGGATGAATTACTATGGGGGATGAATTACTATATGGGGGATGAATTACTATGGGGGATGAACTACTATATGGGGGATGAATTACTATATGGGGGTTGAATTACTATGGGGGATGAATTACTATATGGGGGATTAATTACTATGCTTACTATGGGGGGGAATATTACTATACTTACTATGGATGACACATACACATCATTCATCTACTCTTGTTCCGGCCCCCGGGTCCAATATATGAACCCATTGTGGCCCTCAAGTCAAAAAGTTTGCCCACCCCTGCTCTAGCCTATGGTGGTTGTTGAACCCTAAGATAAAACTAGCTATAGAATCCCATACCAGAAGGTATAAATACAAACTATATTGCAATGAACAGGTTCACATACTAATATACTGGAAGGTAACCACAACACACATAGAGTAGCACAGACCTAGCTATCTAGCACTGTGCATGGGAGATCATAACACTAAGGCAGAGATAGGTCTGTCACAAAGATTCAGAATGCACACTTAAGAAGCTACGAGCAGCTGCAGTTTAACCACTTCAAGCCCGGACAATTTTACCCCCTTCCTGTCCAGGCCAATTTTCAGCTTTCAGTGCTATCACACTTTGAATGACAATTGCGCAGTCATGCAACACTGTACCCATATGAATTTTTTAGCATATTTTGAGACAGATAAAACGTTATTTTGGTGGTATTCATTCACCACTGGGATTTTTATTTTTTGCTATATAAATGAAAAAGTCAAAAAATTTTGAAAAAAAAGGGTTTTTCTTATAAAATTTTGCAAATAAATAATCTTTCTTCATAAATCTTGGCCAAAATTTATTCAGTTATCTTTTTAGCAAAAAAAAACAAATAACCCAAATTAATTTATAACCAAAAATAATAATTTAAAAAAAAATATTTTACATTTTTATTTTATTTTTTATATTATTATTTATTTATTTATTTTGGGGTTTTTTTTTTTACATACTGTCACCCTAGCAGTACGGTGTCACCATATGAAGATTTTTTTTTTCTTTTACACCGATTGCTTTTACAACCGTAAAGGCTGTAAAAGCAATAATTTCTCCTTCTCTCTGGCTGCATTCTTTCAGCCATTGAGAAATACTGTGTGAGTTGTGATTGGTGACAGCTTGTCACATAGTACAAGGCTGTTGTGAATAGCCTTGTACCATGTGATCTCTGTGATCATTCACAGATTTCACAGGTAGAAAGCAATGATGTCAGAAGTGACATCTTGCTTACTGTGATCACTTGCATGTGATCACTGATTGGCCAATCAGTTATCACATGATCGGGACCTCACAAAGAGGTCCCGTACAACGATCGGTGTTCCATTGTGTCCCAGGGAGCGTGCACAAGCAGGGGGCGGGGAGGCCATTTATAAAGGGCCCCCCGCCCCTGCAATGCCACCATCCGGCCGTTTATATACATGGGCCGGACAGGAAGTGGTTAAACTATTAGAAAGAGAAATACTTGCATAATAGTCTCTGCTTCTGATCTGGGTGACAATACAGAATCAGTAGCAGCCCCTGTGTGTATAAGTCCATGTGGCTCAGTTCTCTGTCTATCTCTTTCCACTTCCTCCTTCTGAGGTTTTCAAAGCCCCTTCCAGAGAAAAGAAGCGTTAATACAAAGATATCAGATCCCTACAAAACATTTAGGGTTTCCATTCACTTTAGGTTCCTGGGTTTGCATACCTGCTGTGGCTATTATGAGTGGGCCCTATCCTCCTTGTTGTTTTTTCTAAATGTTATATTATAGAGAATACAAAAAGAAGATCTAGAACATGCAATGGTCATTGGGAACACCCATACTGCCAGGTGGAGAGTAAAGCTGGCCATACATGGATTGAACTTTTGATCTATCTATGGCCGTTCATGAGAAGTCTATCTATCAATCAGTTCTTCTTCAATCAGCTCATGCAGTCAATCGACTGCAGTGCTGATCAGTGTTGTATGATGGTAGGGAAGTCCTGCTGTCAGAATACAATGGCACAACGGGGAGGATTCCCGCATTCACCTTGAATATGTGGATGGGGGAATCAGTTTAGTTTTTTTCATTCATCCTGAACAAAAACAAACAGAACCAGGTGTGATCAGTTTAATATGGTTTGAAATTATGGCAAAAAGCTTTCACTGTTTGAGTATTCAAGACATAGAAGAATCCTGAGCCTGATTTAGACCACCAAGCTCCTGTTAGGAATGGAAACAATATCCATGCAGGTAAGGAAGTCTGAAAATATACGCTTTTTGCTCAACAGAACGTAACACTCTAATGTGAAGAGAAGACATTGCATAGCATTGGGCCCTATAAAAGCAAAAGGCAATACCTATTCAAAGTCTACAGAAATGTGAGCAGACATAGAGGAGTATGTACCAATTATTATTATTTTGTGGGCATTTACTTGTTTATATGAGAGAAAGCACTGAGCACATTTGTATAACTTGGCACGTTTGCATGCTGTTTGAAGATTCTCTTTGGGGAATTTCCTCTTAAAATCTTTTATACAGATTTACACTCTCCTTCCCAAAATCTGCTTTTCATGAGCAATTTCAACCAGCTAATACACTAAGATGGTATTTGATGTTGCTTAAAGTGTTACTAAACCCAGGACCCTGCATTTACTATATCTGGTCTCCCACAGTACACAGAACATGGAAATGTAATTATTTTAGTAAATATAAACTGCTAAATACCTTTTTCCATCAGCAGTTAGAGCAGTCTTGTGACTTCTATCAATGTTCAGCAGGGCACTGGTTAAAGCTTGTAGGAGGGGTTTTCTTTCTGCTCCAGGAGGATGCAAAACCCCTGACCTCTGTCTGGACAGTGCTGTTTGGCCCTGTGCTTATCACATGCGCTCTCCCAAGAATAAAAAACCTCTCTTGCAATACACACTAAAATGAGCATGTGCAGAATGGCTGCGGATTCAGCCTGTCTTATCAGGAGATAAGACGTGGACATTTGAACAAGAGGAGGAGTAGAGAGGACGGAATCAAATGGCCTTTTTACACAATGAAGAAGATTAACCCCTTAGGTTCCACAGTGAGTATAACAAGCATGCTTTACTACATATACAGACTGATTTAATGTTGTGGGTTTAGTAACACTTTAAGAAAGATTCAACATAATACCTTGTAACGTATTTGTGATTCCTTTAGTATCCTTCAAATAGGGTAGCCAAGCATAAACTAAAGGTCATAAAAAATTATCTATATACAGTTTCTACTGATATATTTTGTAAGATCATTATTTCCTAAAACAATAAGGCATCTTAGTAGGTTATACAGATTTTTGTGTATTTTTAGTAAAGCATGAATTGTTGCTAAAACAAAATTTCCATTAAGTCCTTATGCACACTTACAGCTGCTGTTTTTGGCTTTTGGCATTTTTTTGGACAGCCAGTAAACTCCCCAGCATGTTATCCTATATATCCATGCACACATAGGCTGCTTTAATCAGCATTTTTTGGCTGGAAAACCCCCCCAGAACTAGTAGATTTCCAGAGGAGTTTTTCTAGCTGGAAAAATGCTCTAACACTGGTAAACATGGAAAAACGCGGCAAACTTTTTTAGCAACATTTTTTTTTTTTTTGTGTGTAAAACAATGCTAAAAAAAGCAAACGTGGAAAAATGCCAAGCTGCTTCTATTCTTTGATTATTCGATTGAAACTCAGACGTTCCGCAAGTCCTTTGACCAAAGATGATGCTGCAGGTGCATTCTATCCGTTACAGCATGCTCATTCCTGCAAAGCTGCGAGCCCAACATGGGGAGACTGTCCGCTTCTTTACCTCCCCCCGCAATGCTGCTTCATGGCTGGACACACTGCCTCCTCACCGCTGAGTCGCTGATGTCCATGAGTTCTACCACTATTACCTTTCCTTTACCTGTTGTGCCGCAGCTTCATGCTAGCGAGGGTTCGGGATGCAGAGGGCTCCCTGTTGACGGCCCCCTGATGAAATTGAAATTTTTTCAGGAGATACACTCTTCTAAGGCTCTTTTCTCATCCTTTGAGCTGCAAGATTTCCTGAATACTGTCCCCTGTCCTATGTTAGATGACCTCCTGTTAGGAGTCAGTCGGAGTCAGATATCTTATTAGAAGAGGTTCAAGAGGCCATTGGTGGGTTGCAGGGTGGAAAGACTCCTAGTGCAGATGGTTTGCCTACCGAATTCTACTCTCAGTATGCTGAACTATTAGCCCCCAAATTAACTGCTCTTTTTTCTGCTTTTGCTTCCTTGGAGTCCCTTCCTGCATCTATGGAGGAGGCGATTATTGTGCTGGTGCCTAAGCTGGGTAAGGACCTTCAAGAGTGTGCCTCATGCAGGCCTATCTCTTTACTGAATTTAGATATTAAGGTTCTTGCCAAAATACTTGCTGCTCAGCTGTCCACAGTTATTAATGATTTCATTCAAGTGGACCAAACTGGATTCATGCAGGGCAAGGCCACTGACATCAATAGAAGACGCCTCTTCCTAAACCTGTCTCTGAAACATAATAATAGTGGCTCTCGCATAGTGGCCTCCATGGATGCTGAAAAAGCTTTTGATTCTGTAGAATGGGACTATCTGTGGGAGGTTCTACATCATATTGGGTTTGGCCCTAAATATCCACTCTGGGTCCGAATGCTTTATAGGGCACCTAGGGTGTGGGTCTGCACTAATGATTGGCTATCTGATCCATTTTTATTGCATAGAGGTAGCGGCCAGGGATGCCCTCTGTCTCTTGGTCTGTTTGCCCTGGCCCTGGAGCCTCTGGAAATTTTAATCAGGGAGTCTTCGGTGGTTAGGGGCTTGCAAATCAGGCATTTGGAGGAGAAATTGTCCCTTTATGAGGATGATACTTTATTATGTCTGAATGATGTAGGCCCATCGCTTACAGTGGCTCTGGAGATTTTTGTCAGTTTTGGAACCATGCTGTATGAGTTCCTTAATATTGAATGGCGCCCTCCCCCCCGCCTTGCCAGGTCTACCTTATACCATCCTGCACAGTTGTGAGGCTTAGCCTTATCCAACTTCGAAGTACATTACTGGACGGTGTATTGGTGGTTTGAAAGTTCCTGTTCTAATGCCACAGTGTGCGTAGAGGCTTCCTGTCTGGTTTTCTTGAGGGACCTCTGTAACTTGGTTTTTAGGAGAGCTAGGGCATACAACACTGTGCCGAGTCTGACCAGGGCAACCTTGAAGGTCTGGATGGTGGCTATAAGTTGGTTTCTACGAGAACCGTGTTGGTCCCCTGCTCAGACTCTCTAGGGTAACCCCAACCTACCTCATTTTTGGGCTGTTCCTGATCCCCAGCTATGGGCGCGATAAGAGGTGAAGACTCTCTGTGATATTATGCCTGCTGGTACCTTATTGACCTTCTCCCAGTTCTCTCAGTCATTTCAGTTTTTGTTATGTCCAATTGCGTCATGCTGCCAGATCTCAGTTTCCTACCCAGGTCATCCTCCGGATGGAGGTAGTGGAGGACTTTTTATCTCAAGGTGCTCAAACCACTATCTGCTCTATACAGGACCTTGCTCATTACTGACACTGCCAAAATGTAAAGGTTGTGGGACCTCTGGAATGGGGATATTCCTTCCCTGGATAGAGAAGTTTGGGAGGACTGTCTTGAACAATGCCCTAAATTGGTGGTCTCCTCTAGGGATAAACTAATCCAGACTAAATTCCTTCATCGCAAATACTATACCCCTATGAGACCACACAAAATGTACTGGGACGTGGACCCAAATTCCCTCGTTGCCAGATTAATTTGGGCTCTTACTTTCATATGTTTTGGGAAAGTCCTAGAGTTACTGGTTTTTGGTCAGATGTTTTTGATCTTGTTAACCTTAGACTTCAGTTGTCGATCCCCAAAACTCCATATTTGGCACTATTAGGGATTCATGATAATGATCAATTTCCCCATCATAGTAAATTATTGATTTCTTAGCTTTTATTCTATGCTAAGAAGGAAATCCTTTGTAAATGGATATCTACTGCATCCCCAGACATGTCCTCATGGGAAACCATAATTAACACTGCTCTACCCCTATACAAGCTGACATATATTAATCAAGGTTGCCCCTGGAAATTTGATAAGGTTTGGCAGACGTGGGTGTCCCAATAGGATGGGTCTGGCTAGGACCTTCCCTATCCAACTGAAAGTTTGGTGGTGCATGTGTGCCCCTTGGCTCTCACTGGTATTTTCTATGTATTCCCACCGTAAATGTCCGTGCTCTCCTATCCCCCCCCACCTCCCCCCCTTCCCCCTCCTTCTTCTTCACCCCCATCAAATTCCCCCTCCCTGAGGAGTTAGAGCTGATCTTCATACTACAGCTGTTATTGTCAGACCCACGAGTGATGTATTCCATTCTGCATGTATTTATGTGGTGACATTGGATTTTTTCAGACATTATGCATGATCCTTTAAACTTCTATGGTATGCCATGCCAACTGTTTTGTTTTTCTGTTCTAATGTTATGTGTTATGCCTTTCTTTAATAAAGCATTCCTGATTGTTAAAAAAAAGCTACTGAATACATTGCAAAACCAGATAATACCCTATGAAGGTGACTAAATGCAGCTAGTATATAAAGACGCCTAATAATTTTGCATGAAACAAATCACCTATCCACCTAATGAGCAGATGATATATAGATTATACTAATTATATGAAATATCACCAAGATATATACCTATAGTGATAAGTGAATACACTGATCAATGTATGGTTTAAATGAAACATAAATAATTTAAATATAAATATATTAAGTGCATTTCAATCTTAAATATATACAGTCAGGTCCATAAATATTGGGACATCGACACAATTCTAAAATTTTTGGCTCTATACACCACCACAATGGATTCGAAATGAAACGAACAAGATGTGCTTTAACTGCAGACTGTCAGCTTTAATTTGAGGGTATTTACGTCCAAATTAGGTGAACGGTGTAGGAATTACAACAGTTTGCATATGTGCCTCCTACTTGTTAAGGTACCAAAAGTAATGGGACAGAATAATAATCATAAATCAAACTTTCACTTTTTAATACTTGGTTACAAATCCTTTGCAGACCTGACTGTATGAAAGAAAAAGACAAGTGGCAAGAAATTTTGTGTGAAGACAAAGAAAAAAGTCCCAATTTCCAAAATGAGAAAGTAATTATCTGTTCCATTGACCGGCTGATAAATATCTCCCAGGTCTCCTCAGGTGGACAGCAGTCCATACAAAAAAAAGAGGCTTGCCAGAAATGCTTGCACCTCAATTTAAAGAGTTTACAAGCCAATCTCCTGTGGCTCCAAATTCATCCACGTACACTAATACACAACCGCCGGAGAAGCCCTCATCAATTGTCAAAATCCAGTTGCAGAGGTTTAAGCATCCAGATCAAATATGCAAGAGGCAAACATGCTCTCTATAGTGTGACACCAGCCTTTCAAAAGGTTTATTCGCTTAAAATTGCACTTACTCAGTTTAAATCATCATAACAGTGCTGTACATGGTAGAATATCAATATTGCCCACATCCAAGATGGCTGCTGTGGGGCACGTATGCGTGATGACGTAAGCCCTGGCTCCTCCCGACGTGTTTTGGCAAATGTGACATCTTCAGGGGTTCATTTTGGAAGTGTTTTGCATCCATAACCATGCGCAGTTTTCACACGTTGGGGTCCCACACCCAAGTGTTACAAGGAGCACCCCTAGGGAGACCACTCCCAGGGGGCACAAACACAGCAGACTCTCTGCCTTCCCAGCCCCTGACCAGACAAGGTAGACCCAATCAAACCAAGAGAAACTGGGCCCATCCGGTTTTCCCGGGGGAATTACTACAGCCTATGGACGCCTTGAATTCTCTTCCAGCCAGGACAAGCCTTCAGAGCCCCCATCATACAAAGAGGGGTACTATAAAGTACAGCCATTCTCACCAAATGGTAAGAATGAAGGCAGAGCAACCCTACTGTACACGGATAAGAACAGGTACTACACTTAATCTTAGCCAAAAGGCCAAGAAGTGATGACATACTTAACTAGAAAAGCTACAATTTCTGGGGAAGTTGTGTAAAGTGTTCTTGCCTCCACCAGTAGTCTACAACTGGAGTAACTGGGTGGAGTGGCTTGTCACT